TCATAATTCCCAATTTCGTTGCGCGCCTCGCGCACGCGCACCCGCCTCCGGAAAGCCGCGGCCGCGGCCGGGGCGACGCTCCGTTACGCGTAACTCGACAGCGCGCTCGCGCGCGCGTAGCGAGGGGCAAAATTCCTATTCGGGACCGTTAGCGAGCTTCTCTATTTCTATCTTGCTCGCTATCGCCGGTAACGCGGCGCGCGGGCCGTCCGCGGCGGACTAAAAAGAGGCCGGTCGTAAACGTCAGGATGCACCGCCACAATGCCCCCGACGCCGGGGCGGAGTGCGGCGATCGAGACGGAGTGCAGCATCATCCCGAATACTCACGGGACGGAAATTACGACGTTAGCGCGCGAGCGCAAAGAGAGTTTCCGCGAGTAATAGATTTCCTGCTTCACCGAGGGGGGATTATTCCAATCTTAATACGTTCGGCGGACTACTTCGATTCCCGCAGTCTAATTGCGATCTCGCGATCGTTTGCGAGCGTACGCCTTCCTAAAAGCCGCGGCCGCGCTCGCGCGCGGAAAGTTCCACGATAACGACCGGCGTGCCCACTTTATTTTGCAACATAGTTTCATTACATATACAGGATGTCGGTATTTTATACCGCTAGTCCCGTGGGTGGGGGTAATATCAACCAGGTGTTTGCCCCCGATAAACGTTTTCGATTAATGCAAGACACTTAGCGTGCGCCCGCGCGCATTATTCCGGCGGGGCTCGGTCATTGTTCGCCCAAGAAGAAAGTACGATAATAACGAGCGCGCCGGTAATACGTCAAACAGGGGATTATATAACAGAGACGGAAACAGAGCACGGCCGATTACGGCACGCGGTTGGTGGAGACCGGTGGAGACCACTTCGTGCCGATATATATCGGAGCACGCGCGGCGAAATTCAGCCTCGACGCAACGCTCCGGCCGCCCGAGATACAATCGTTACCCTTAGACATCCGTGACTGATTACAGCGCGCACGCGGGTGCGCTGTAATAATCGTGTCTGACCGAGCGTGCTTCCTCCTACCCACGATGTACGTGGTAGAAATCGGAAGAGGGAACGTCGCCCCGCAACCCGCGGAAGTGATTTCCGGATCCGATCGAGCTGTCGTAGAGCAGCATCGACGTAGCGACGATATTATTGATTTATTGTTGGGGAAAGAAATCGTTTAAGAACAAGGACTTATTGTCGCCAGTAAACGATTAACCAATGTAGGAAATTAATGATCGACACGACTGGCAGATTCTGATTAAAGAAATTTACTGCGGAAAAACATTATCTCGGCCAGAGTTTGCATCTGCACTCTAGGCGGGCGTCTCACCGATTCGATCACTGAGGCACGTGGCAATATTTGTCACAATGAACAGTCTAAGGGCCAATTTCACGAACGTTAGTTAACTATCAACCAGAGTTGAGTCAACTTCCTCCTATCTTTTTCTCTTTTGTTAACTAAGAAGAGACAGAGATTCAATTAACCTTCGGTCAGCAGTTGACCGACGTTTGTAAAAATGGGCCTAAGGGCCAATTTCACCGACGTCGGTTAACTGTTTCATTCAGTCAACTCCCTATCTTGTTCTATCTTGTTCTCTAAGAAGAGACAGAGGACCAGTCAATCTTCGGTTAGCAGTTAACCGATATTTGTGAAACTGGCTCTAAGGGTACTATTGCATTTGTCGTACGACAAATTTTGTAGGCGCGTTGATTGGCTGCAGGATAGAAAAGTTCTCGAGTGTCTGCTCTAGCTTTCTAGCTAGGACACCCAAATTTCTGCTCGTTAATGTTACTTGGCCGGTAAATGGGATAATTTGTGCAACACAGTTTCGTTTGGAATCAGTCGTCAGCAAATTCACGTGTTCTAAATCGATAAACGGTTTAATTATCATTAAAATGCTATCAATTTGTGGTCACAAGTGCGTCTCGTTATCGGAAGTTACGTGAGAACGGTCGAAGAAAAGCCACCGGAATGAGCCGCGCGCGTTCGGCTGATGGCAGAAACAGCGTATTATTCTCGGCTCTCGGAGCCTCGCCTCTCTTTCCCAACGGTGAAGAAAAGTGGCCTGTCTTACTTCACTTTTCCCGCCCTAGTGACGGGGAGGGATACCCGATTTCCCATACGCCTGGATCCAGGGCGAAATCGGCGGTGCCGCGTGCGCGCGCGCACGCGGCCGAGGCGCACGCGAGCGGTTCCCAGCGATTTTCATTCGATATCGGGATGAATGGTGCGACTCGTATCACCTCCGTAACCCGCAATTACCCGCGCCGAGTCCTTCTTTCACATGCACACATTGTATGTTCATTTGTACCAGTTTGCCGACGCGACTCCCCTTCCCGAGCGTTGCGCCACGACGTTCGCCAATTAAGTGCCTCGTCCGCCGACGAGGCCTCGGTCCGGCCGATTTTCCCCGGCGTCGGTGGTTAACTTTAATCGCGGCCTATAGACGATCGCCCCGTTCCTCTTTTCAGATCGTAGCGCTGCGGGCCACGTTACGGGTAGAGGAAGTGAATTCAATTAATCACGGATAATTAAGCCGTGGTTAATTGAATTTTCTTCCTGTCTCTATTTATATCACACTCGCGCGGCGAGTGTTGCGAACTGACGGGGAGGATTAATTAAATGTGCAGTTGATTAAATTTACTCCTAATTAGACGCATATCTTATTCCCGTATACGGGGAGTGAGCCCCCCCCCCTCCCTTTCGTCTTCCTTTCTCCGCCGCGCGTGCGCGCGCCTTCGCGGTGCCGCGGGCGCGGTTTTTCGCCGAAACGGCCACGTGCTTCGACGCGGTCCACGTGTCCGCGCGAATTGAGACGCGACGGCGATTCCTTCTTTAACGCGAGACGTAAATGGGCCCTCTCCTTCGGCGCAATCTCGTCGCGCATAGCGGGGCCCCCGACAGGACAGATAACTCCATCACGCGAGATATTACGTACTCGGTTTACGCATCGCCGTCGTTAGCGCTCGCGCGATTATTACGGATACGTTAGAATACTTAATTATTATTAATGACTCCGCGCACCCCGTTACCTCGTGCGCTCGCGCTCGCCGCATTTACCGTATTCCTTCGGAACGAAATCGTTCGTTTGTAATCAAGACGCGTTATGTTCGCTTATTTGATCGTAAATGACTCAACGGTTTCGTATACCATCGATATGTACCGCCGTTACCTCGGCGATGATCGAGGAAGGGAAAGAGAGAGAGAGAGAGAGGGAGATGGGGGGAGATCGTAACAGGAAGGTCTGAAGACATGTAAATTAGAGACGCAGAGGTCTGCGTGCGCAAGGAAAACACGGGGAAGAAAAGAAATGATTTCTCCCCCTGGCAGCAAGAGATTTGCCCAAGGTGCGTGACCCAATTGCCTGATTCATCTCGCTGTATCGCGAGCAGCGGGGCGGCCGGGCAGGCGGCACACACACAAACACACACACACACTCGATTAACTTGGATAATTACGATGTGTCCCGTAACGACGTCCAGTCGTATTCGAATGCCCGATTACTTTCTCGTTTTTGCCATTTTGCACACGCGCGTGTATCCGTCCACGCTCACGGCGTCTACGTGCGGCCGGGCGCATTAGATACGTATTTTCTACGTGCCATGCAGGTACGTTACGATGCACACGCTACTTTCTCGGTCGACCTATATGGGATTTTTTTCTCAAACCCCATACGAACCTCCATGCCGGCTGTATAACTCGAATCTGGGCCCCTTTCTATCGCCGCGCATCATCGGGTACACGCTTTTCTGCGCTCGCGCGAGGCACGGGGGAGGCGGGCGGGATCGGCACGCGGTGGATTTGGCCTTTTTTTTTCTTCTTCTTTTGGTTACCGTCGCGGGGAGAAAATGAGGGAGTCGGCTGTCGGCGCCTCGGGAATTTTACGACGCGCTTAACTCGCTCGATAAGCGCGAACGTTATGAAGTAATAAATTTGTCCCGACTCCTCGCTTCCGTATATTCCTTTCCGATCTACTTGGAATAGATTTGCCTAAGATCTGGGCTAGCGGCGCTTATGAGAAGCCGCGGAGGTTTTCCCGCTGCGGTCGCGGGTATTATTCGACGTGCCTCCGGAGTTTAATCTCTCTCGCATCGCATAAATTAAAGAAGGAACTCTAATTGCGGAATTATCCGAGTTACGGCGGGCATAAAACGTAATGAAACGTATTACAACTTATCCACGTTCCGCGAAACGGCGCGAGACGTGAATGAACGGCAAACGAACGAGAATATTCCTCGTCGCTCGCTTTTCTCCTCGCCGTACCCTCCGAGGACTTCCTCGCTCGTCCGCCGGACGATTTCTGATTTCCCAGCGAGATTCACCGGATGACACGCTGCCTCAATCTTTGCGTTAAACCGTGGATGCCGACGCTTCGGAAATCATCTCGCGGCCTTACGACTGTATAACGCAGCCGTCGGCGGAATTTTGCGGACGCGGAAAAATTGTTAAACGACGCTAACTGGCAAATTATAATTAAAGAAATTTGTCGCGCAAAATGTTACCTCAGCCAGGGTTTGAACCTGGACCTCCCCTACGCTCTTAGGCGGTCATCTCACCGGTGGTCGAATTGGTGAGACGCCCGCCTAGAGTGTAGGGAAGTCCAGGAAGTTCAAACCCTGGCTGAGGTAATATTTTTCGCAACCAATTTCTTTAATTAGAATTTGCCGGTTAGCGTCGTTCAACAATTTCTCTACATTGGTTAATCACGTACTGGCGTCAAATAATTCCTTACGGAATTTTGCGGAATCCGTGGCGCGACCGGCTTAACGTATAAGCCAATTAGGACTCGATATTCTGTTGAAGCACTCGCGATCATTCATCATGCAAAGCGATTACAAGCCGGGAATCTGTGCCGTGGTAGTTAAGACCGGCGGCAGTTAAGGCAAAATAAACGGAACAATGCGAGAAACACGATTGGCAGAGACGGCTGCAGGTAGATACGCGGGGCGGTCAACCGGTCGACCGGGCCGGTCGGTCGGTCGGTCGGTTGATCGGTTAGAATTAATGTGCTTACCTCGCTGGTGTAATTTGTCGTCAATTTGATTTGCGGTCTAATCTTTCCGGGCGACTCTCGCGTTTCCTTGGCCGTCAAAGGCGAGGTGGTCGTGACGTCGGCTACGGCGGCGGTCGCGGAGCCCGCTGATTTTCTCGACGACAGCACCGTGGCCGCGGTGTGCTGGGTGGGCGAGATTATCCTCGGCGATGTCTCGGTGATGTAGGTGGGACTCGAGCCGTCCTGCGGATTGCGGGAGGTCGACAGACTCGCCGTGGACGACGCGAGCGACGGTGACGCGGCCGTCGTCGCCGTCGCCGTCGCCGTCGCCGTTGTCGCGGTCGCCACGATCGTCGTCGACGAGGTCGTCGGCAGCTTCAGCGTCGTGCTGGCGGACATGGCGGCTGTCTGAGGTGCCGTTACCGTCGTCGTCGACGTCGCCGCCGCCGCGATCGAGGACGACGACGACGAGTGTAACGTGCTGCTCGGCCTCGATGCCGTCGCCGTCGTCGCGGTGGTCGCCGAGGTGCTCTTGACCCCTCCGGCCGCGATCGTCGTGATTTTCTTCACCTTGGCTGAGTCGCCCTTCGACGACGCCGGCACGGCCGACGCTGTCATCAGCAGCAACGCGAGGCAAACGCAACACTGGATAGCCCGCATCTTTAGTCTCGATATTATGGAAAGTAGCCGCTTCCGCTACCGTATTTTTAGGCGTCTTCCCTCGAGGAGTTTTCACCGTGTACAAGCGATGCTCTCGCTTCGACTTAGAACCTGCGGATGAAACGCATATTATGTTAGCAATGGATTCCTTCAAGTATACTTTGCATACGTATGCGTTTTGATTCTTTAAATATTTTTCATATTTCGCGGCACGTAAAATCAACAATGGAATTCCATCCCGAGTCCCGACGCGAATTAGACCTGTCCCAAGCTTTAAGGAACGGCAGATATTTTTCGAAGAGAAGTAGCTCAGCGCGCGGCGTCTTCACTTTTGCGCTTACTTTCTTGTGTTTGCACCGAGTCTTCCTCCTCTTTTTTTTCCCCGCCCCGTTTTCCCCTCGAAAAATCGTCGCTTTCGCTTTTCCGCGTCGATGTCGTCGAATGTGAGGGAAAGGATTAATAGATCGTGTATTTCTGCGGTTTGCCGAGAGATTACGATGCGGACGGGGTAATGTAGAACGTAGCGCAATTCACGCTGTCCGAATGTTTGCTTCGGAACGACCTTAACAGGATAGAGCTCTCGCTCTCGCAACGGTAATTAGATTTTTCTAAGCGCGGCTGAGCATCACGCTGAACTCAAGTACATTTCGTCGCGAGACGAAGCCAGCCTCTCTCTTATCACATTACATCTTTTCGCTCTCCCCACAATTTTCCGTCGGTCTACCTGCACTTTACGTCTGTGTACAACGAGTATTGCACAACGAGATGAGATCTTTTCGAGCGTGAAAATATTAAGTTAACAACACGAATAAATATAATTTCTCCAACAGTTGGGTAAATAACAAGGAACTCGCGACGATGAAACTAACGAGTGGCAAGTAAAAGGTGACTTCGAGAAATCAGAGCGCGGTTAACGACACGCGAGTTAACGAGCTTTAATAACTAATAGGTTGCGCAGAGGAGTCTCCTATTATGAGATGGGCTCCTAATACGAGATAGTTGGGTTTCTGCTAAATTAATAGACATCGTCTGTTAGTTTTGCCGCGAATTCGTTATCCTAAAATCTGTTGGGTGGAAAATTCATTGTTAGACCGCGCGTGTAATTGTTGCAAAAAAAATATGTGAAATTGGATGCTGAAAATCTGCTATCTATTATTAGGAGTCTATTTCACAATAGAGGACTTTCCTCTGATTACAAATCGAACGTTTTGGCTCCGCCGGCTTTAGCGACGCGGTAACAAAGTGATCTCAAATTCCCCAGCAAGAAATAAGCGAATAGTTTGAAAATTTGGTCCAAAAGCGAGGAAATCCAAGCAAGACTTGGCTAATCGTGGTTCATTGTCGATCGAAATCGAAATAACAGGCACGGTTCGGCCACAGGGAGAAGCGAAGCCGCACTCACCCACACGGAGAGACCGATGTGGTTACCACATGTTTAATTAAGGTTGGCACAGCCCCAATAAATAGTAATATTTGGGACAGCTATATCTGCGGTTGTCGTACCCACATTGCTACGATAAGTAGTGGAGGCAACTATGTGCCAAGGTAGAAAATTGCTAGACGACGCTCGGCTGGCAAATTCTAATTAAAGAAATTCATTGCGAAAAATATTACTTCAGCCTGGGCTTGAACCATGACCTCTCTACATTCTAGGCGGGCGTCTCACCAATTCGACCACTGACAATGAGTCTATATGCCTGGCCGAGGTAGTATTTTTCGCAATGAATTTCTTTAATCAGAATTTGCCAGCCAAGCGTCGTCTAGCAATTTTCTGCATTGGTTAATCATGTACTTAAATAATAATGCGTTAAATAATTCTTTACAACTCTATGCATTTTGTGCAGCAAACTTAATGAATGTTGCAACACAAAACAGTGTAGACGCCCCTACTATTTATACGGTAACATTTTAACTTTAGTTATTTTTGCCTTAGCTCGGAGAATGAGCGTTGAAGCTGTGGTAAAAAAAAAAACACGGGGACGCAATACAATTCGTAAGTAAAGGACGCCGTTACAGTTGAAACAATGATGCACTTAAAAGACATTTCAAATGATTGTCAAACGGTAAGTTACCGGACGAGACGGGTGCTATTTGGAATCAGGAATGTCTCTTAAGTGCATTATTGTCTCAATTGTAACGGCATCCTTTACTTAGAAATTGTATTGCTTTCCCGGTGTCCTTCTCTGAGCTGGTGGACGACTTCATTTCTCTTTAGATACGCGCCGACCGCTCCAAATCGAGCTCAAAACCCGGCGAGACTCGATTCGATTCGACATGAAAAATCCTCGATTCGCACACCTTTACGTCGGTCTACAATCGTGTATCTTATTAGTCATTAAAAATCGCTATAACGTTAACTTTCGCGCCGTTCGAGCTCTCGCAGGTCCTTTTTACTTGTCACTTATCAATGTAATTTCTCGTTCGTACGAGAGAGAGAGAAAAAAGGGACGCTTATCGTGCGAAATTATGCAAATGCGGAGAACGACCGAGGTAATTGCTACGTGTCAAGTTCGACTCTGGGAGAGACGGAGGCATAGAAATCCTCGTCGCGGCCAGAATGCCGCAATCCAGCCGCAGTTGCGTTACGATGGATTGGCGAAATCGCGTTTCCGTCGCGCGCGCGCGCGCGCGCGATATACACACGAGACGTTTTCCAATTATAAGCGTCCTCCTCGTTCACCTGTGCCCCTTTCGACGAGGTCGTTCTCCGTCCTCGCAGAAGGATCCTCTTATCGGACGACCTTCCTCCGCTCGCTGGAATCTCTCGATCTTTTCTCCGCGGTCAAGCGGGTCGACCGCGTTTTTCCCGTCCGAAACATTTACGCCGACAGATTGGAATTAGGTGGGGCGAGGAGATAGATAGTTGGGAGAGGCGCGCGTTTATTTGCTCGTCTTCCTGGATGTCCGTGCATCGGTCCATGGCGGAGCTGACCGCTTATCTGCCTGCCTGCCTACGTATTTTCCTTTCACGTGCTCGATCTTGTCCGCGCGTCGGTGCTTGTGCCGCAACAGTTATCGCACGTATGCCATACGACACTGGTGAAATTGGGTCATTCGGTACAAACCGACCATACGAGCCGTTATCTCGTTGCATTTGCAAGGCCGTATCAAACTGCGCCCGCGCGCGCGAGCGAGCGAGCGAGCGAGCGGGTGCGAGCGGACACCGCACGCTTCGAGCATCAGATGTTAGACATTACGCTTCATTAGAATATGTATCTCACGTTGCTGAATATGTACCCGCGACGGATGCGCGACTCCTCGGTATAACGGAAGCGAGAACGCGACACGGACTGCGAAATAGAGAAACAGGAACGTTTTATCGTTTCGAGTGGATGGACACGCGCGAGATACCGCGATAAAGAACGCTGATTAGAATACGATCGGCGGCTTTCGAAACTGTAACGTGTCGATTGCCGGCTGAATCTCGCGGACATTCCGCCGGCGAAATGTAAATCGCGTCCGAGTTGCATTTGCACGCCTCGCGTCGCGCCGGAGACAGCCCCGAGTCGAAATTATGGTATTATTTCAACACTTTTAAGGATAATTTACGCCTACTCAGCTGATCTATACACCTACATAGACCGGCAATAACCTACTTTGATGACGTTATATTTTTTTTACTCCTCCCTTGAATCTTTAATTTATAAAATTTACTTTACCTCCTGCTTAAAAGGACCTACTTTAATGCTGAATTGGCAAAAGCAGAATTTTCGACACTATCAGTTTTAGAGTAGGAGTAAATTTTGTACTTGCAGTTCGACCTCTTTTACTGTCTTAGGTCCTACTGTATAATAGAATTGAAGGTTCAACGTAGGGCCAAAATTTCGACTCGTGAGGCGCGATTGTTTTCCAGACGGCGATGAACTTCGCACAATGGAAACTGTCCGCCACTCGGGACTTTTCGCACTCGCGACTGGAGAGCCTGTAATCAGAGACTGGCCGGCCATAAGAGTTCGTCAATTTCCCGCGATTCTACGATCGTAGAAGAGTAAGAGAGCCTACGTTTCTCTCTCACTCGCGGGAATTTGACGAACTCTTATGGCCAGTCTCTGATTACAGGGTCTCTACTCGCGACTTCTGCCGCTCTGCTCCCTCGTCGCGGTAAACCGCACAATGCGGCGGGTGGGGAATGGCTTTTCCACGCTTAAACCGCAAACCGAGTTTTTAAACATTCGCGACATCGGCCGTTTATGCGAACAATATAACAATTAAATTATTGTCTTAACGAGGGACGCGGGGAAAAGGAGGGTCTATAGAGTCGTGGAGGCTGAACGGTACACGTAGTTTCAGAAAACGGGTAGGAAGGAACGGTGTTACGGTGTTACAGTGATATGAATCGCGATTAATAAAAAAAGGAGATGGCGAGATACGCGAGGGATCAAATTATACAATTAATGTACTCGCGATCCTGTTGCGCGCCTCCTCCCTCCCTCTCTCCCTCCCTCGCTTCTCTTTCTCTCGAATGCGTTTCTCTCTGTCGCATTAGCAATTCGTTACACGTTACAGGCGAGCGGTGAATAATTTTACCATTAATGAGCAGCTCGGGAGAGCAACGAGCATTAATTTGCCTGCGCAAATAAAACGAACGTTCACGGATCGATACGCGTGCGTTTGTTTCGGCAATTTGTCGGACTAACGAGACCGAAAGGAAAGCGTGCGGTCGACTGTACAACAAAAGCGCGTGCAATTAGCAATGGATATAAGCACCGAGAGAGAGAGAGAGAGGGGAGAGAGAGAGAGAGGGAATCTTGACAGTCTCGTAAAATCGTTCGCGTTTCACGTCTCGCGTCCGCGCGACACATAAAGGATCTCGCGCGATTCAAAAGCACAAGCGGAAGACAAAGAGAAACGGCGACTCGCGTCAACGCCGCTGACGACGTAACCGCCTAACGGGTCTTTTGTTAAATTGGCTTAACGCGTTTTGCGTAGCCCTTTTCCTCATTGTTAATCCCCGCGGTTCGTCGCGTCATTCGCCACAGCGGCCGATCGGAGGCTGCCTTGACGCGCGAGACATCGGAGGAAAACGCGCGTCACGCGCTCCTCTTGCCGACTCCGAAGTAATACGTGGAAATTGCGCGCGCTCTATCGACCGATTTACTTTTTGAGGAGCGCGGGGGACTCGGAGGAGTAAACCCGAGTCGACATTTTGGTCCTACGTTGAACCTTTAATTCTATTATACGGTAGGACCTAAGACAGTAAAAGAGGTCGAACTGCAAAATTTACTCCCACTCTAAAACTGTTAGTATCGAAAATTTCTACCTTTGCCAATTTAGTTTATTAAAGTGGGTCTCTTTAAAGAGGAGCTGACCCCAATCAAAATTTTGCTACTATTTTGACACTTTTAAGGTAATCTACACTTACTTAGCTGATCTGTACACCTACATAGACCAGCAATAGCATACTTTGATGACATTATATTTTTTACTCCTCCCTTGAATCTTTAAGATTCTAAAAATTTACTTTAGCTCCCACTTAAAAGGACCTACTCAACATAGGGCCAACATTTCGACTCGGGAAAGTAAATCTTAGAATTAAAGATTCAAGGGAGGAGTAAAAAGATACGGTGTCATCAAAGTAGGTTATTGCTGGTCTATGTTAGGTGTGTAGATCAAGTGGGTGTAAGTTATCCTTAAAAGTGTGAAAATGGTGCCGAAATTTCGGCTCGGGGCGCAGATTCTTTTCCCAGGGGTGGAAAATCGGCTGGTTCCGCGAACGATCCGCTAGAGATACGGCGGTAATAATATATCATCGTCGCGTTTCCTTCCACCCGTCCCTTCGCCACGAAGACACGGGCAACATTCGCGATGAGAAAGAGGATGGGAGCGCATAAGAAGGAAGGAAGGCGATTATCTGGAATAAAACATCCAATAATGAATATACACCCACCGGCTCGATTCGCATCGGTAGCGCCCGGTAGTTGGACACGTAGATTGTAACGGAAGTACGAGGAGCAAAGTCGGCGGTCGCGATCGGAATGTTGTTCCTTCGGTATACCTGCTTCGCGGCGGAATCGCCGATGTCGAACGAGCATTGTCCGCAAAAACGTATAATGAGAGGGTACGCGCGTCTGCGATGCACTTCCCTGCCTTTTCTCAATCGAGTTAATTTGTTCGCCTGACGACGCCGCGAACTTGTAGACACGAAATATCATTTATACAGAAATTGAATCAATCGTAGCCGCCTGTCGCCGTCGCCGCCTTGTGGCTACGAGACAAGATAGAAAAAAAAAAGATGGTAATCGCTTCATTGTCAACAATTACGGCGGAGCAGCCGCGGACTTATTTCACAGTTCCGTTATCTGCGGTATAATGGTAGTTACAGAATAGCCAGTAGATGACAAAATGATTTGTCATGTGCAAATATTACATTTGACGTATAGTACACACTTTATTATATAAATAATGTATATTAAGTTGCGTACAATTTTGTTATCTAATATATCTGTTGTTAAATAAACCGTTTCTGTTCGCGCTTCTTTAGTTTCAACAGAATAAAGTCGATAGAAGCTAGAGAGAGAGAGAGAGAGAGAGACAGAGACGGATAGCAGATTATCAAAGATGCGGTACAAACTATCCACACGTGTATTAAGTAAAAAAAAAAGGTATCTGAACGGTGCGAATTCGCAAGTATATACCGCTGCCCTCGTAAATGTTTAAAGCAAAAAATATTGGGGAGTTCGTACCTCGTGCGGCGCGTAGGCAGCCTGACCCTCGACCTAGACTTTCGTCCTCGCTCCACCTTGACCGCGACCTCGACCGCGATCCCTGATAGGAAAGAAGGAAGGCGTACTTGTCGCGGTCCCTGCACGCCACTGACAAGCCGGCGGGGAGCAGTCGGCTCTAATCCAACCGTTGTCCGATCTCACGTTGATCCCTGATCGCTTTCGCCGGTCTCCGCCCAAGAAGAGACCTCTACGGTTCGCACGCTACCGACCGAATCGCACGGGGATCGCTCGACGGTCGCCGCAGGCGGTGATTTGACAGCTTTGACAGCGGAACGATCGCGCGACTCGGACTTGGCCGACTCGAGATCGCGGCGACGAAAATTTCCGTCTTGCACGTCTCAGCGCGCCCACCCTCTTCCGCGTTCCGCAGCTCTCTTCCGAGGCCGTGAACCGTACCGTTCGCGAATTGCCGTTGCTATTGCTGCCGCTGCTGCTGGCTCGGACGACCGATGTGGATTGAAGGTAACCCGCGATGAGATTGTTTCGGGGTTTGCGCCCGACTGCGGCCTCGCGTAGGACGCTACGTGCCTATGAGTCCCCGCTAGTCCCACTTACCAACCAACCAGAAACTGCTCGGGTATACTCGGAATCCTAAGCTGCATCTCCGCCAATCCACCTTCCACTCGTCCTTCCTCCGCTCCCCCTCGCCGTGTCCGCCTCGGGGTTCCTCGGTTCCGCGCTTGTCCGGGATTTGCTTGTGCTTTTCGTCTTTCGGCCCCGCCGGAAAGCAGCCGATGAAAGACGTGGGTGAGTTTTGCGGCTGGAACCGGTCGTTTCTGGACCACCGAGTGCCTCTTGATTCAAGGCGGTTTTGTCGACTATTAATTGATATTAGCGACAAGTTACGAGGGGACAAGTCAGTACCGCGTATCTTTTCTCTTTCTTTTGTACGAGTGGAAATCACGGGAGATATTTGCTAGATGAAAATTGCAGTCTGAAGTAGCCATCGGCCGTCCGCCGCTTTGATCTTGGGAATATTACGCCGAGACCCCGACTGAACTCCCACGTATCCTCACCTTTCGAATAGAGAAATTTCCACGCGCTGCCTAAAGCTATAAACTTTCTGCTCATTTTCTGCTCATTTTCTGCATAGGACTTATAGTCTGATAAATTGATTTATATACGTTTGTTGATGAAAACCAACAATTACGCCGGTAATGGGACAGGAGAAAATAGTATATAGACAAAGATATATCCTTTTCCTCTTCCGATTCGCCGGATTCTCCGTCAACTTAGAAAATACAGAAGCAAGTGTTACAGCTGACTTAATTAGCAGGCAAACACAAATTGCGAATTACTTTAGAAAGTTCAAATCCACAGAGAGATGCAATTTATCGGCGCGTCGAGCTGTGTTTCCTCCTCCGTAAATCCAACGCATCGATAATTATTTTTACAAATCGCGCGGGAGAAAGAGCATACACCTCTACGATTATTACTTCGTGGCCCATCGTCGTCGATAGGCTCTCGCTTTATCACCATTTTTCCATCGTGGACACGATGTCGAGTAACACGTCCGGAGTACAGCGCGGCCTTTCTCCAAAGATCGAACGCGTATTCTTCTCGGCCGCGCGATTCATCTCGGTGAAAGTCTGTGCGGGGCTATCTGTTAGGCATAAGATTTGACGTGGACGCTAATCATTGTCTGCGGTGCGCAACAACCGCTCGGCCATAGTTCGCGTGTTTTTCTTGGCCGCGAAGCGGCGAGGAGAACGTCGGAGATTCAGCGTCGATATCGACGGCCCCATCGGGAACGCAGCCTCCAGCTGACCATTAGGAAACGGAAAAACTGACCCGCTCTTTGCGCCGGTGGCTTTTTGCGCTCGAAACGAGGCGAGTGCGGTTCGCGCCTATCGCGAAAGACAGGAACAAATAACGCCTGGTAAAAAGGCCCCGGAGAAGTGTGTCGGAAAAGATGCGCGCGGCTCCGCGATCGAGAATCGCCGGGTTGTTCCCCGGGCTTGGCCCGTGGTTACGCGCGAGCTCATCTCTCGCGGACGGATTCGTGACTAATAAAGATTCCCCGGCGTCCATAAAACGAGAGCGTTATGAAAACACGCGATGCCCGAATTATTTTCACCTGGAGAAAAGCCCTTTTCATATTTATGAGAGCATTCGCTTTCTAAGCTCACGATGCATCGGACGTGCAACTTTTACGGCGATTATTGCTGCGTGCGATAATAAAAATGCTCGAATAGCTGTCGAACGGTTCTTGGAAGTTACATCCAATATCTCGCAAACTTAATTAATTATTCTCGGCAAAAACGCTTGCTGAAAAAAAAACAAAGTTGCATTCGTTAGCGTATTAGTGTTGTACATTAAACCGATGCTATCTTAACGGAGTCATGATCTTTTCACTTTAATTACTCGTTAAATTAATATCTACTCGTTTTAATTTATTTTAATTCCTCTGTAATAATCTACGTCTTTCGTTTATTTGCGATATTTTGTTTTTTTAAATTGACGTTAGTTATCAGTGTTTTAACAGCCTCTTGAAAAATATGAACTTCCACGGAAATACAACTTAATCGGAGGTTAATTTAACGCAATGTGATTGCGTTTTTTTACCAGCCGTTCAAACCAGGGTTGACCATAAGATATAATCTACCTGCGTGTACACGATAAGCTGTTTAACGTATCATGTAAATAATAAATAATCCATGGATTATCGGACATTCATATTTCTTCGGAAATATAAATTTATATTCGTTCGCAATTTAATTTTCATACTATTATTTAGTTTGGATGCAATTTTTAGCCTGCCACGAAAAATTAACAGATCAAATCAATGAACAATATGCGTCTTTTACATCCCGCCGCAGTTAATAATTAAATTAATGATTTAACTTATTATAATCTAATTGGATGCATTGGTTCTTTTGTCGTCTCAAACTTTTTTATTTCTGATGAAAATACAGTTGAGAAAAAGTCAATAATTAATCAGTTAATTTAGAATAAATCACATTGCTCGTGTTGTCCATGTGATAGCAGTTCGCGCAACAGAAATATGTAAACGCAATCTTGAAATTCACGGCACAACCCTGGTTCAAACGCACCTCCGGCGCGTTTGCGCGCCGCGCAAGAGAACTCGAGCCAAGACGGCGCGGCGGTAACGGTGCCGTGCAGATGGTAACGTGGAAGAGTGGAGCATCCGCGAGTCGCGGGTGATGGACCGTGACGTTCTCACAGATAACTCACTGGCTTCCGACGTCCACTCGCGCGCTGCCTGCGCCGAGTTATCCGGGGAATAACCCGGCTAGAAGTACGGCGGTTCCTTTGTGGCCCCCTCCCTTCTCCCTCCTCGCGAGGAGACGCCGCCGACAAGACCCCGATTTCAAATTCGACGTCCACGTCACCCCGGCGTAAGGAAATTACTTTTCCCAAAGATGGAAAACGTGGTAAGGGTAGAAAATTATATTGGGAGCCGGTAATGTGTGGCGTTTACGACAGCGTCGCTAATTTTGTCGCGCCGTAACAATGTACGTCCTCGATGAAAGAAGAAAGATTATCAGGATGATACTTGAGACGCCGGTGTGCTCAGTTTTATTTCAATTTGTGATATATGGCGACAGAGCAGTGTACATCTTCGAATTGTGAGATTCAGTGTCGTGGTACCGTTTGTTGCACTTGACGCACGAAGATGCGCAGTGATCGAATGGGGGAATAGTAAATTAGTAAATTTTTGTCAAAATTGTTAAAATTAAATACTCGCTGGTGTTTCAGATCGACATTCTTGCCCCCAACGAGAAATATTTCGCTAAAATCCACGCGTCATTTAGCTCGATTAAATATATTGTTGATATTGTTATAACGATATCTTCTTTATCGACTTGCGATAGATCGGCAGTTGTTTCGCGCATCCTTATCCAAGGACTCTTACCTGCGCCCTCACTGATCTCGATAAATCGCCTCTTTATCGCACTTTATCGCGAAAATACATATTCTTAACTGATCTGGGATTTTGATAACCGCGTCTCTTGATCGCGTTACGTATCTAAGAGAAAGAGAGGTTGGAAATAATAAAAAATAACATTGTCACACGCGCGCACATACATAGACCTTTTCCATAATAATAAATAGGGGTGCATCTTTGGGGAGGTGGACACTAGGACGTGCCACTTTCAGTCGAGAAGAATAACGGGCGGGGACTAAACCGGGATTCGAACCTGGGACTTTCCGCTTGGCGGCTGCTCTCCCTAATGCAACATCTACAATGAGATTTTTAAAGGGGGTGCTGGAGTGATTGTGCACTTTTGGCACCTTTTGCTCCTGGAACTGTCGATTCGCGAAAACATTTGTGTAATATACAAATTATGTAGTTTTTGTGTACAGACCGACAGTGTGCCACTATTCGGATTAAGTGAAAGAACAGCATAGTATCATTGGAATTAAGTTTAGGAGCTCAACAAGAAGTCTATTCACTCGAATATGTTATAGGTTACCTAACCTATAACCTATAGATTTTTTTGTTAGGCTTCTAAACTTAATTCCAATGATACCCGTGCTGTTCTCTGATTTAGTCCGAATAGTGGAACACTGTCAGTTTGTACACAAAAGCCATATAATTTGTATATTACACAAATGTTTTCACGAATTGACAGTTCTAGGCGCGAAAAGTGCGAAAAGTGATTTTCTTAAACTTTACTTGAAGATCTCGTTGTGGACGCCGCACAGTAAACTACCCAGGCCTTCGCTCGATATTCCTCTCGATTGTCTACTTTAGTTTAGCCCAATAAACCAGGTACAATATGCAATACGACTCCAGAGCGACGCTTGTTATCTCGATGGTTCGGTGGACCATCGCATGGATGCAAAGTGGCCACACCCCCGAAGAGACCCCTCTTTTTTATTAAGTTAAAGTAAAAGTAACAAATAACATCGAGAAGAGTCTCTTACGAATCGTCTTGCGATGCTACCATATACAATATACTCCCCGAATGAGACACTTTCGGAAGACCAGAGACGAATATGTACAAGTGTTAAACGACTGCGCGACGTCTTGCAATATTCTACGAAGCGGCATAAAAATCGATAGCGCTAAAGAAAGAAAAGGCTCGCCGTTGTGCTACGACCGAGGGGCGCGATAACTGTGGCCCGTGTCACATTGCGGGAATACGAGGCGATCGTTTCGAAACTGTACTGTACAAAACTGTGGGCGGGCACGATTCTCTTATCTCTATATATCTTCTGTACATTACTTTTTACACTTAACATTCGCCAACGCCGCTGGGGGATTGTACATGGCACGGCGTCACATGGCTGGTACAAGCCGACCGATCGACACGTATGTTAATTTCCCGTTGTTCGCGATTCCTACGCGACGCTTCCCGTCCACAAAAGCGGAGCTCGAGAGGAGCGCGCGCGCATCGTTCGAGACGAAAGAAGGAAGATAGAATAGGTGGAAAGAAAAAGAATTTCAAAGGATTATTCGAACGAGCGTTCGGATGCGCTTCTCCTCCGCCGAGAGGAAGATCACCCGAGACGCGCCACGATTGATTTTACGGCAACGTTTTTCGACAATCGGCAGGTACCAAATGGCCAATTGTTGCGCGCTTGAAAGGGCGGACGGAACCTCCGCCGATTGGTCCTCGGGGAGCCGACCGTCCTCCCTCTTTTTACGGGGACGTAAGTGGTAAAAGACGCGTGTGTAGTCCGTTTGAAGCTCGGTGTCGTGGCGGATTTGCGCTCGGCGTCCTGGCGTGCAGTCGACAGATGCCGTTTCTGCGATGCGCGCGATGCCTCTCTCAGATGCCGTAGGTCATTTTGTCGTAGCCGTGGTTCGGCACGCAGTAGCCGCTGTAAGTCTTGATCTCGAGGGCGCCGGAGTAGGATCGCGCCGGCGAGGAGCCGAGGTCCGTGTGCCGCCGCGGGCACCGGTGTCCACGTGGGCACTGGCAGAGCGGCGAGGCGGTCACATCCTCGAGCTGCGAACTGCGTCTCTTGCGCACGGTGAACAGGCGGCAGGGCTCCTTGTGCTGGCACCGTATTTTCTGCAAAGCCAGACGTACGGCAAATTGACCCCGCGCTAATAACATTTCTCGTTCCGAATGCGCGGCGTTGAGACACGTCGATTCGAGCGGAACTCGCTCTCTTTCTCTTTGGAAATCGCATTTTTTTTTCTTCGTTTGGTATCGTTGACTTACGCTTTGCGGAGAACAGGCGAAGGCGAAGATGAAGCCTTGCTTTCCGTCCGGCGATGTATGCTGTTGCCTACGTAGTAGGTATGGCACGCTGTTTGGGCGACATCGACAGTAGACTCGTTGCACCGTCGCATTCCCCGGGCCACTTCCGGGTGCCACCGTCCACGTAACGTCCCTGTGGGGGAAAAACGGTCGTGAAGACATATTTCATAACGCGAGTGCACATTGTTGTTTGTTTCGCGAGCGAACATGAGACCCGGAGATCAACAGTGATTTTCGATTCGTGCGATTCGACCGCGTTTTGACAGGAGGCATTTGTTCCTCCTCTAGGCAAAGACTCGTAAAGTCCCATTCAGGCGGTTGTTCAGCCTGAGAGCTTGAACGGGGACAGAGATAAAATCCAAGTACGCAACGTGAAATCGTCGAACGCGAGCGGCGATCGCGGAGAATGCGTGTCGTGATGAAACCAACTTGAAGTAATGACAGATGGGAAGTCGTTTCACGGGCTCGCAGAGCTTGTAGCGGCGCGTTTTATCGAGGATCGTGTATCCGTCGTCCCCGTGAAGAGTGCTGGAGCAGGCACGGTCGTCCGGGCAACGACATTGTCTCTCGACCCACGGTGCACCATATAAATCCACCTTGCTACACACGTCCCTCCGGTCCGCGCACTCCGGTAACTCCTCCTCGCTGTTCTGCGCAAACAAGCACCCGCGTCATTAATAAAGCGATTGACGCTCGCTCGCTCTTTCGCGGAAATTCAATTGTCCCGCCGACCCACCGCCGGAATGGCGATTTTATCGCTTTGTTTATTCCGCGTCGGCGGCGACGCGCGGCACGCAAATACATTGAATCGAGATTGCGTTGAATCGAGCAGCTGACCGATAAGTTTCTACGTTATTAATAAACATCATCCGCGTTCGTCTTCTCGGGCACGGTAACGGAATTATTAGTAGGACGATTATGATCGCAAACGGGCGATTGTACCGTTGCGTAATAATAAACGTCTGAACGTGTCGTGTCGCGCTATGGGACCACGGGTGCTTAATGAAATAAACGGGACGATTGCGCACAAGACTCGTAACTGAAGTATATCCGCTCTTTCTGCCGGCGATACAAAGTCTGCTATAACTGGACTATTTAGATGTTGCCAGTCCATTCATTGAGGCAATCGCGTACGTCCTGTCCGGCCTATCGTAATCGACGACGCCAACTAACCGTAAGGCGACCATGGATTCTCGAAAATATCTGCCGAGGCTGTCGGATCTTCGCGCTGGATTTTCGATCGTTTCTCCCGCCTGAAATTTCGCCCGTTTCTTAACAATTTTCCCCAAACCCGAGGAAACCCGGACAAAACTCGCTCGTCGCGAGCGTGAATTTATAACGTTGGATTTTGTGTCGCGCAGAGAAATGTGCGCTGCTTAGCGAACAAATGAACGAAAGGATCCGAGTTCAAATCCACCGCTGGTTCTTTTCGGAAGTTGCAACCACCGAGAGTATCTTGCCTCCAGATGGGAGGTTTCCTTCGGCAAGGTTAGCAGCCTATCGAAAATGAAGTAAACCCAAATGCTCAAAGAACCAGAACAGGACAAAACAGGCCTTAAGCCTAAAACACGAGGAAGAAGAAGGATTTTGTCCGTTTGCCGAATTAACAAATCACCCACTTCCCGTCTCCGATCCTGCGCTCGCGGAAGGACATTGCGGATTTACGAAGGGAAAAGGGGTAAAAAGGGAATGCGGCTCTCGAAGCGATCACGTGCGCGGTTTCTGTTAATGCGATACGCGTTTATCGAGGCGCACCTCGGCAGTGCGTGAGCCCAAGTAGTTGAGGCAAGCGTGGCCATTCAACGAAGAAACGCTCGAGGAAATGGCCTTCCGCCGTTTTACCGCCGACTGTGAGCATTCGACTTTTTGCTATGACCATCCGTTCATCTCGTTTGTCTTTTTGTCGCTCCCCCAGCTGTAGTTTCTACTATTACTACTACCACTATTACTATTATACTACTTACTACGATCATTCGTCACGGCACAATGGACCGAACGAATAAGCTTTTTACGAGGAAAATCCTCCATCCCGCTCCTTTCGACATCCGCTCGCGTTTACGTGCCTAAAAATCTAGCCTACGGCTTCCGACTAATCTTCTACTCGCTCACAATGTCGCTCGCGGTTTCCCCAATGTAGCTGAGAAGCTTGCAGAAATTGTTAAACACTTTGAAGAGAACTTCTCGTCCGACCATTTTGCAGAAGGCAATTTTTTTTAACGTAAAGAATTATTTAACGCCAATACATGATTAACCAATGTAGAAAATTGCTAGACGACGCTTGGCTGGCAAATTCTAATTAAAGAAATTCATTGCGAAAAATATTACCTCAGCCAGAGTTCGGACCTGTCTAAAGTCTAGATCAATCTCTACCTTTTACGCATAATAAATTTATATTACGGTTTCATATCACGTTTATCGACTTTTCGGCTGAGCACGCAGGTGGTATATAAATAACTTGGTATATAAATAATACAATTATCGCAATCCCCCTCGGGGGATGTTTTCAAGCCGCGCCCGATCCATCTCACGGCATTATGTTCCGATTTCAATCGCTTCCGATTGTTAATCGTGTTTGTCCGCATTATCCTTCCCGCGCGGCCTTCCCTACGCATCTCTTTATCCCACTTCCGTCGGCTCTCTACGAGCGAAAGAAAAGGTGAAGCGGAACGAAAGGCGAAGGAAGTTTTTGAAGCTGATATAGCGGCGGCGCGAGCAGCGGGATTCGCGCACATACACACACGCGCACACACACGGTGAACGGCGGTAAACTAAAATGGGATAATAGAAGGACCGGAAGGGCGCCGTAAACCATCCGGAAGTTCTCACGCGTCTCTCGCTTCTCGCACGGCCGCAATGAAAATGACACCTGGCACTCGGGATGGACATACTACACGAAGGCAAAGGAGGAGAAAGAGGAGGAGGAGGAGGAGGAGGTGGAGCCGCTAGGCATCGGCGACGACGAGGAGAAGAAGGGTCGCGCGAAACGAGGAACGAGATGCGGAACAAAGAGAGAGAGAGAAGAGAGGCAAGACGCACGACGACGCAGGGAATCTGGTCGGATGGATGGATGGCGTTAGTAAAAAGAAAGATCGCTCGCTCATCGTTCCATATAGCCGTACCGGATGTCTCTAAGCCTGGAAATCTCGCCTTACGATCGAGAGCGTGATGGCACTGGGCGCTGCTCCGTGTGATCGGCAGGATAATCAATCGCTGCTCGATGCGTATCTACTAATTGTCCGCAGAGATAATCGTATTATGCATATAGATCGCTGCCGAACGGGACGGCCGGGTTATTATAGAACGGAAGAGGCCCCGGTCCGACTGAATTATTCATATGGGTTTGTGACGCGGGATCGGGCCCCTCGTTCAAACTTTAGAAAAAGTGTTTTTCAAAGCCGGAAATATTCGCGAGAAGAGGCAGATTAGTGCCGGAAAATTCTTTTCAGGGAAAACCTGTTCTCCAACCGCATCGAAAATGGCCACACCGGATGTGTCCTTTTCAATTGTATTTTTCCGCCCTTTTCTTTCCTCCATTTAGACGGACACGGGTAGGCATACGATTGTGTAGTTTATTGAGAGAGACAAAGAGGGAGAGAGAGAGAGAGAGAGAGAGAGAAGGACGAGAAAAACGAGAACACAATAAGAAGGAAGAGTTTGTTTTTTTAAGAGCGAACCTCGGCGCAATTTCGTGAAGCCGCGCGATTCTCGTTCGATATGCAAGGAGCAGTTTTCTCTCCTCTCGACGACGTCGCCGCCGTCATCCCCACCGTGTCGTTCCTGCGCACGTACTCTCGGCCCACGTGCGAACGTACGTATCTACGATACGTCGTACTTGGGTGTCGCGCCTGTCCGCACGTGTATACCTACGCGCCGTACCCCACGGGGGACGTGTATGCACGCACGCACGCACAGACGGCGACGCACACGTGTGTACACCGTCGACACGTAGGTGTTTACAGCAACGACAGCAGCAACAGGTTCGAGCATCGAGTGGGCGCCGCTCTTTGCTAACGGCTACGTTTCCCTCTCCTTCTACTTCCTGCGCCTGTAAGCGGACGATTTAGCTTCAAATCCTCGGAATGCTACCCGAGAGTATATACGAATTCGCGTATGCGAATATCGTCGGAGAGACATCGACGCCTCCGTAGGCGCGCGGCCGAGACGCTCCGAGAAAATCGAGACGTGGCACCTGTTGAGAAAAATCCACGTCGCGAGAAGAAAAATGTCGACGCTCGGCAGCCACGAAGGATCCGTCGAGCGCGCGTCGGTCGCGAGTGGAACACCGCGAAATCCGCCCCACCATTCATATTCTCGACGATTCAATTGCGTGGCACAGCGAGACGGACTCGCCCGGATTAGGTCGCTAATCGTTTAGCCGCTTTCTGGAGCAATTCAAGCGCTAATTCGTTCGGGGAACTTAATGGAGCGAGTAATGTAGGTAATCTCAACGGAGGAAAGTCCGACGGGCTGTAACGCGGAGTGACTCCACGAGACACTCGTATGATACTCGGCACCGTGCGCCACGTTTGAGTCGATATGGGGAAAAGATCGGAGCAACATTCTCCGCTGGGAGCAGAAGGATAGGAAGGAGTAAAGGGATGCGATATCAACGCCTCGGTTCGCGATTTATATAAAGCATCGCCTTTCATTTACGGAGCGTGCTTAAACGCGCGACGTTCAATAAATTACTGTACGCGTGTCGGTCAGCTAGTCGTTCAACATATTTGTACCAGCTACGTAACGGTTACATAATATATACATATATTTTTTCTAATATATTTTCTAATATCAACTAATAAGAATTCTTCGATGTCACCAGCGATAATTAACAACGTCAGTGTTTTTTCGACCGTACATCTGGCATTTTTGATAATACGGATTTATTGCGGAAATTATTATCTCAGTCAGGGTTTGAACCTGGACCTCCCTACACTCTAGGCGAGCGTCTCACCAATTCGACCACCGAGGCATGTATATATTGAAATTACGAATTATGCGTATGCTGGAAACATAAAGGAAGATCACGGATTAAGAACGAGCAACAATAGATGTTAACAAAACTAAGCGTATAGGTGATTCATGTAATAAGATAAAAGATGTATTGCGTGTCGACTTACTAATAAGTCTTCACCCGAGTCGAAGTTTTGGTACTATTTTGACACTTTTAAGGATAATTTACACCTACATAGACGAGCAATAACCTACTTTGATGACATTATATTTTTACTCCTCCCTTGAATCTTTAATTCTGAAAATTTACTTTAGCTTCTACTTAAAAGGACCTACTTTAATGCTAAATTGGCAAAAGTAGAAATTTCCGACACTATCGGTTTTAAAGTAGGAGTACATTTTGTACTTGCAATTAGACCTCTTTCTCGAGTCGAAATTTTGACACCATTGTGACACTTTTAAGGACAATTTACACCTACTTAGACCAGCAATAGACTACTTTGATGACATTATATTTTTTTACTCCTCCCTTGAAGATTTAATTCTAAAAATTTACCTTAGCCCCTACTTAAAAGGACCTATTTTTAATGCTAAATTGGCAAAAATAGAAATTTCCGACACCATCGGTTTTAAAGTAGGAGTAAGTTTTGTACTTGCAGTTCGACCTCTTTTACTGTCTTAGGTCCTATATGATATATAATAGAATTAAAGGCTCAACATAGGGGCAAAATTTCGACTCGGGCATCGGCACAGCAGTTACAAAATAAAAATAACTAACGTGCGTATTGTTGCTTGTGTTTAGATTGTGATCTTCTATTTGTTTTTAAATATGACGAGCGTTTAACTAATTTGCCTTAAGGTGCAATTTCATGGACGCTAGAAACCAGCGGCAAATGAGTTCTAGTGACTTCTCGACGTAGGGGGGGAAAAAGTTGAGACCGTCTCAACTTTTTCAGTGTGCCGTGGTGTGACTGTGTGTCGCAAGGACTGCGTTCAGAAACACTACCCGAGTACCCCAGCGTATTATTCTATCCTTGTTGCTCACCGTATGTTAAACAAGGATAAAATGATACTCTGGGGTACTCGGGTGGTGATTTTGAACGCAGCCAGCGGTGGTTTCACAACGCTCATATTTTGCAACTACTTCTCCTTCCCTAGGCGAGCGGTAAATTTAGTCACGTGACTATATTTGACGCTAAGTCATAGCGTCAATGAAATGGGACCTTTATACGTTGGTCGTATAAATAAGTGATTTATTCCTGAAATCAAAACCGACAAACTTTTGTCGGCTTTGAGTTTGTGGAGGGAATTGATGCTTTTCAAAACGGAAAGACGTGAATAATAATAGGGAAAGCATTTTGGATTTGTAAAAAAATTTGAAAATCTCAAATTTCTACCTCGGTGCAAAAATATCTGCAAAAGCCGCGTTACTCGTGGAACGACCCGATGTAACGGTAAAACACGTAGGACGCATAATTTAGGGATTGGCCCCCGGGTTATCCCCCGGCTTACCCCGATTTGGTACAGCACCCTGGGCTCCTCGTACTCGTGGTTCCGATTACGATTGATCAGATCGATCTCGATCGCCGTGTCGTCGAATTCCTGCAGCTCGGCGTGGTACTCGCTCTCGTCCATGAACACGTACTCCTTGACGTACTCGCCGTGCTCGACTTTCAATGGCAGATCGAAAACATCGCATTTGCTACGGCGGACCCCGGCGAACGCCAGCAGGGTGTACAGCAGGTGCCTTATTGTTTTGCCGGTCATCGTGTCGCGATGGTGAGAGAAGCACAGTGAAGCTCTTTCCCGATAAAGAATCTCGATTGGGGGAATCCGGCGGTCGCCTGTTTGTTGTGCGTGTGTGGGTGGGTGGATGTGTGTGCGTGTGTGCGTGCGTGTGTGTGTTTCTCTTTCTCGCTCTTTTTCTTTTTCTCCGGAGGGAACGTTTGCTGCTGCGTTAGGTGTTTTATTCCACGGTGGGGGGATGCGATAAAAAGAATGGAAGGGGGGTTTCGATACGTTCACCTTCTTATTTGCGCGACAAGGCGTTCGGAACGGGTTGGAGGAGGAATACTCGGGGAAATACTCATAGCAGAAGTACAACGGAGCACGAGAAAGCTTGAACACGAAGAAGCTCGCCGGTCGTCCGCCACTGCTACTTGAAGTCCATCTTCGTGAATCCCATAAGCGCGAATCTTCTCATTGATCGATCATCGAGATGTAAAGCGGAAAAGGGGAGTCGCCCCGATCGCCTCGCGAGGATCCCGATCGCTGGTCCCGCGTACTCTTTCGCGGATTCTACGGACCGAGCTCCGGTGGTATCCCGCACGATTCGAGCCGTCTCCCGAAGTTCAGATCCTTGCGATCCTTCTCCCTTCGGCTGCGGCAGCAGAAACGTCACGTGTCTCTGTTTACCGCGGTCCCGATCTCCCCCCGTCTCCCTCTTCTCGCGATTTTAGAGACGCGAAAGAGCGCGGTTCCCTGATCCTGGAACGGCCGATCTTTGGGAGGGGAGAGGCTACGGGGTTCGATAGAGCGTATCGCACTCGCGCACTCTCACCGAGTTGCCAATCGTCTCTCGAAATCTCTGTCGTCCGTCCGTCCACTCGTTCGTTCGTTCGTTCGTTCGTTCGTGCGTTCGTGCGGTACTCCTTTTTTGCGGTTCCTGCGAGAGCCTCCTCTCGAGAAACGGGGCGCGATCGCTAAGACTGAGAAGAAGCAGAATGTCCCGGCGAGATCGGCCTATGCGAAGGTATGCCGTCCGCTCGACTGGACTCTTAAAAGCCAGAAGTAAAGCATGAATGGATGCCCCCACCCCTTTTCCTTCGCCCTTCCCGTCCCTGCCCGCCCGTCACTTCCCCCCTTGCATCGGCCATCCCTCCCCACCTCTTTCTCTTCTCATTCTTGACTGCTCCCGTCCCTCCCCCTCCCCCCCACTCTGTCCCTTGCTCTTACGTCATCCCCACTACTACTCTCTATCCGGGCCCCCCCCTCCTCTCTTTCTCTCTCTCACTCTCTTTCTGTCTCTCCTCGCCCAACGTTTTCATCGTCGTCGTTTTTTTCTCGAGACTCGTCGCCGTTTGCCGTTTGTCCTTGTATCGCATCCTCTCTTCCACGGGCGCGCTCCGTACGAAGCGCGCGCGCGTTGCTCTCCGCCTCTCCCCGAGAACGTATTAACGACGAGTGTTTTACTCTTTCTCCGGAGGTCGGCCCGTTTGCTTTCGCGCGCGCCTGCGCGCGAGCGCGAGGTCTGTTTTGCCATTATCCACTATGTTTTCTGCACATTCTCTGTGTTCCACCGATCCTTTTCTCTATCTCTCTCTCTCTCTCTTCCCTCGCTTTTACCGGCGAGCCAGTTTTTCCACCGACGATTTCCCTTCCTGCGATCTTCCGATCGTACCTGAATGGCGCTCGCCCCGTTTCTCCCGCAATTCCGAATCTCGTACCTCTTCTTTTTCCTCTTCTTCGGCCTTCTCTTCCTCTTTTTTTTTCTCTCGCCTCTCTCCTCGCCACTGGATATCCCCCTCTACTAGACAGGACCGCGCTTTATCCGTTTTCAAATTGGAATATTTCCGATTACTTTCTTCATTTTTCCTCGAAGGGAGCTGTTCGTTCTAGCGGATTGCTTGAAATGCGTCGTTTACCCCCACAAGTATCTCATAAATGTCACGTATGTTTCGACGCGATAAGTCGTCAATTATCTAGAACAATGTCCAAGTTACTGCGTCGAAAATTAGTCACCCGAGCCTCGCGTCCAAGTATTCGCGATCGTCTCTGTATCATAAGATAAAAACATCTTGTACAATGCTGTAGTGCAAGTCGGAGATGTTTATCATTATTAGGAATGCAAGGGTACCGTAAGAGGAATGCCGCGAAGAAATGCTAGAGCGGTGCAGAGCCGCCGCGATGCTACCGTTTGCGCCGAGGCATCAGTAATTTCATGATTGTTCTTTATTGTTCAGGGAGACTGTACGCTGTGTTCGGCAAGAGACAAGGCCACATCGTATCTACGGAAAGTGCTTACGGCTTCGGTGGACAATTCAGGGTACTGGCCACCCTACCGGTTCTAGAGAGCTTCCATCTCGCGAGAGAGCTGCGGACGCAAACGTCCGGATTGGCTAGTCCGCAACTAGTTTTTAGTCATTGGGAGGTAAGCGCGTTTTCTCGTGAATTAAAGTGTTCATAAACTTCAAGACGTTCTTGGAAATTGCAAAATGTCAACGGCTGAAACTCAAGTGACATCTTGAACGTTCTTTTTTCCTATTCTCTCCTTAATAATTACGGATATGTTTCAAGATATGATTTTAAGTTTTAGAATTTGCAACTCGCGGCGGAGGAGGAAGAGATTTCTTTCCCCCTTTTTTTTCCGTTAATTACTTTAATTGTTTAAGCAAACTTTTGATACCACCTGAACGTTACAGGTAGTCGAACAGGATCCTTACTGGGTGCCATCCACGGAGGAGGAATACCTCCATTTCGGTGAAAAGGCGGACTGCGATAATCGAGCAAAGTGCTATATGGATGCGGTTCGTCGAAGGAAAGGCCTCCCCGTGCACTCCCAAGTAGTCACGCATGGCGCAAAACAACGCACTCTTTCGAAAAAGAAGTGATGCGGAAATTCTTGGGAAAGCGCGCGTTGCATCCTTGTAGTAGAAGCTCAATTATCTCACGTCCATTAAATCTGTGAAATTGTAATACGAATGTAATGCGAATGTATAATATGAACATGGATGTTGGTTCCCTCTCGCATTGTGTATTACGAGATTGAATATTGACTGATCAATGTTTAATCTTGACGAGTAAGATTAAATATTAAAACTGAATGTCTTCTTTATCTGACGTGACTTTAAAGCGGCTTTTCGTATCCGTTAGAAATATTGTCTCCAGATATGTTGTTGCACAATAACAGATTTATGACATTTATTGCAAAAGTGTTCCATACAAACGAAAACTTATGGATTTAATTGCATTTTATTGACAATTGCGTAAACTATGTAGAAAAGAAGACATATAACACATAAGAATATATTATTTACATGAAGTAAATGTACATATGTATACATTTTTGTTAAAACGATATAATGAATGTATCAGAAATTTGCAATGCACTTTACAGAAGTTCGTGATTAATTTATCAACTGGATCCACGCGGTAAACCATCACGCCTAATCATCCGTAAATACAATCTTCTTGCCCTGAAATCCTCTTCTGATGATTTCCTGCTCCTTTTTCTTGGCCATCCAAGAAGGATGTAAACTGGTATCCTCGTCTCTTTTATTGTTAATCGCGGTCTCACTTGCGTTACTCTTGTTTGCGCTCTTATTGTTGAATGCCGTTCTCTTGGATTTCACGAAGGATTGTTTATCCGGGTATCTTTTACTGAAGTTTCTTTCGTTTTTGCGGTTTGCATTTTGTTCCTTAATTTGATCGTTCGATTGGAGAGCCTTGGCTCGCGTGTTGTATCTTTGAGATCTCTTGTACGACGTCGAGGCGTCATTTCCTTGGTAGTTTTGACCATCTCCCGCAATAAAGAAGTCGTCGACTGACTTTGCCTGTTCAGCCGCAGTGCTCGCGGATTCTTGATTCTCGACAGACATCTGTGCATCTCGATGAGATTCTTGTTCCTCCAACAGCTCCGCAAACCTTTTCACCGTCGCCTCTTTTGTAACGCCAGACGGTTTAATTACACTAGATTGCTTATCCACGACTGCAGCTTCTGACGCACTGCCTCTTGGCAATTTTCGTTTTTCCGTACAAACATCGTCCGACGTCCTTTTGCGCTTGCACGAGCTACCCCTCGTTTCGGACGACTCGTTGCACGCCTCAGCTTTGTTACGTTGAGGTTGTTCAACGTTTTCACCCGAGTCGATCTTCTGTTTCTTTGAGCCTTTATTCCGAGTATTGTTCTCTTTAGATTTTCTAGTTTTTGCAGCATCCTTGCCCGTCACCTTCGTAGTCTTCTTCTTCTTTTTCTCTGCCAGATGTTCCTTACAGTCCGGGAACCTCTCCTTGAACTGGGCCAGTCTTTTATCCAGAGTTTTATAATTCGCCACCCTCGCCATTATGCGAGTGCCACTACTCGACGACTGATCCATCAATATTTCAGTCAGATCTCTCTCGTTCAAGATCCCAAATCTTGAAATCTCGTCGTCCTTAATCGTCTTCAGCGCGTAAACCTCGGCGACAAGCTTGTCGGCTTTCCTCGCGCACTTGGCTCGCTGCGCCTCGTTCCCATGTCTATCCCGCAGCAGTTTGGCCTCCTTGATAAGCTTGTTCAGTACACAAACTCTCGCCTGGCGAACTGCGTGTCGCAGAAGGATAAACTGAAAGTATTGCAGGATAGAATGAATATCATCTACACGGTAAAAATTAATGTAAACAAATCACACGTGCTCCGTTCCAATACTTGAACATACGTCTCACCTCGTTATTGATTTCCGATTTTGCCATTTTAGATCAGTAAAAAGTCTCCGCAGTAAATCGCTTGACGCGTGTGCGTACGACCAGACGCACAAATACGTATTCTCTTCTTCCGTTTCTTCCTGTTCTGTCACCCGTTCGCTTTAACAACCTCATAGGACTCGTTCTCGAAATTGTAAACAAGCCCGAGAGAATGGCGAATATAGTTGCGCGTTCAACGGAGGAATTTTCTACTATCATTCCGTCCAATTAGAATCTTTCTAGAGAAGAACCGCCCAGGAAAGATGTCGCCTCGATCACGTCGCATCTAGATATTTTATGTATCATGACTGTTGACTCCAGCGGGAAATGGTACGAAATTATACAAGTCCAAGGACATGTTCTCTGTTGATAAAATTTTTGTCCTGACTTTCCAAAAATACGTCTATAACGTTGTGATCCCCTTCATTACAACACAGTTATATGAAATTTTACATTTTGATTTAAGGTCACTAGTTCGTAGTTCGTGCTCGCTCCAAGAGATGTCTTCGCAGTCTCTCTTTGGCCCATGGACGCTAGGAGTACTTGGACGGAACATAGGCCGAGCTATAATCCGATAATTATTTCCCGAAAAATAAAGAAAGGAGAAGAACATAGCCGGCAAGAAGGTAACGCTACAATTTCACAAATTTTCTAAGAGATTTCCGGAAATCATGTTTTAAAAAAGTCTAAAATTGTAAGTTTCGAGAAAACCTAAACCGTCACAATATGTGGAGATTTTCGTCAGTTATTTAGATTAATCAGTCGCGAAAATTGGTGGAATTTCGGGCGTCGAACGCCGGCGTTGATTCCAAGAAATCACGTAGCGTCGCGAACATCTCGATCAAAAACAATCTATTGTGTCGAATTCGTCGTGGATCAGTCGAGCGAGGCGGATGTTCCGCGTGTCTTCTCGTCGCTGCTCGTAACGCGATCATTTCTTACAAGAAACTCGATCATCTGCCACGCAACGCGATCGTCTTCTACGAGAGTAAGAGATAAATTAACATTTATCAATCGCGTTGAAGTTATTGTCGCGATCCGTAATCTTACCGTTCTGCGGTGATTTGTCGAGACGAATAACACGCGTAATTTGAAGTCGCCTATTTGAACGAATCGCAACCGTGCGCGGCGGTTTATTGTGTCGCGTTAATAACCGTACATAATCAAAAAAAAAATCCTTCAAAAAGATAAGTTTCTGTGTCCCTAGAAAATTTTCAAGTCTAGATAAAATTTCGTAAGAGTCATCTTTTTACACGCGTGTTGTTTGGGTTGCTTTGTCGCGAGCTTCGAGTAACATTTCGTCGACGACGCTCGCACAGTCGACAGTGCGAGCAGTCACGGTCCCCGTTATGCATTGTGAAAGGTAGAGGCTGCAGGCTTTATTAGCAACGCACTGCCCAACCGGATGATTACACAACAATTACTAATCCGCCTATATATAAAATTATTTACACGCGATGTTTGACGTAGCCGTATTCCGCATAATTTAATACGGAAAGGAATTAAATTGAATTCACGGGATTCTAAAGTCCATCATTTTTGAGAACGTGGACTTTCCCCTATTTTTACTCAAAAAAGAGTTCGGTATTCATTGCGCTTGGCTCGCATTTCCGCAAGTAATAACGCGAGCACGTAAAAGCGATACTGGACACGGTGAAATCTCTTTACGAAATTCCTAGCTCGGTCGATCGATCTTGCGCGATCGCGTTAGAAATTTGATTACGAAGCGATCTCTGCGGCCGTAAAAATGGCTTCCGGGTTTCGTTACCGAAATTCACCGGCGGCTGACGCGAAGCGAAACGTAGGAAGATAACACGCCGTTTCGCTACGAGTGACAAGGGTTTTTGTGTAATAATAACAGAATCCAACGATTATGATAAATTAACCTTCTACAATCCAATTTTTTTTTCGTGGAAAAATTATATAACTTAAAACTTATACCAACATTAGCCTTCAGTTAAAACTAACGATTAATTTTCATTGTTATGCTTTTTATTATTTAAAATAATGGCATATAACTTGGAATAAAATGCTACGTTGAGTCGCGGCAAGAAAATAAAATAAGACTTAAATGAATATATGAGCCAAAAATGGTGAGTCCCAAGTACAGGTTTCAGGGAATGCGATTTATTTCACCTCTTTATCGCGATAAATTGCGCAGTAATAACTGCACATATGCCTCTTTCGAGAAAAAAAAGGAGAGATTTTAATCGCGATTGCATTTTAAAGTCGCTTCAGCGAAATGCTAAATATCCGAGTGTTACACGATAAAAGCGTAATTATTTTACTTTCGCGATTTCCTACATTGATATCGCAAAAACGTCCCCGTCTGTTCGCCGCGCGAACGAGCAATTCGCGCGAGCCGCCACTGGCCGGGATGCAAAACGAAAACGGTAACGAGATCCGAGTCCGGACCAGAGTTACGTAAAGGAGCGGCGGAAAGAAGACGAAGAAGAAGCGGCCCGAGGATTTCTTTTTACCTCGTATCCGACATCGCGAACCGCGCCGTACTTTCACTTTCGTAATTAACGTGGACGGCTCCGCGCGGCGCGGCGATGGTTCGCGTACGCGCTCCTAAGTCAAGTATCCTCCGACGGAGGGATAGAGAAAAAAAAAGAGGGAAACAAATAGCGGCGATTTAAGGAGAGGCCTGACGCCGTCGATCCCCGCCGATTTCCGTCAATGTCGCGATAATCGCGCGGCTCCGGCTCGCCGCGTTATATCGCGTTACGTTTCGAGCGCGCAACTCTTGTAACGGCGGACCCTGGGTCGCTATCCTTCCCCTCCGTCTCTCCACTGCTCGGCTTGGATAACATATAATAACGGCTATGATACAAGGCGGCGTGCATAGTCGATTTCACTTTCCGCCGGACTCGTGGCCGAGCAGCCGCCGCTGCATCTCTTTCTCTCTTCCCGTCGCCTCTTTTCCTTGGGAAAATATATACCTTAGAAAATCTTACAATTTTACTTTAGAAAAATAAGAAATATAAAAAGTAAATTTGGAGATTTCAAACTTTTATGTAAGGTAAACTTAAAACTTACTTTAAGAATTTAAAAGAAAACTTCCAGAATTGTGGGAAGTGTGTGACATAATTTGTAATACCGCGTGCGATTTTCTTCTTACGAGAAAGTGTTATGCCGCGCGGCCCTTTAGCGGAAACTTCGACAAGCTTGGCTGTCGAAAAATTACTTTAAGTAAACTTTTAACTTTTTAAAGTAAACTCTTAGATTTGTGAAAAATTACTTTTAAAATCTTTAACTTCATTTATTTCAAGCAAATTTTCCCAAGGATTCATTCTCCGGTGCTTTGTCCTTCTTTCTCTCTTCCCCGTTTTTCGATTGAACGGCGCGAGTTTGGCTTGTCCTCGAAATCGAGGACTCTGTCAGAGCCTCGCTCCAGACAAATTCCGGATTTTAAAAAGATCATAGGAGCTAACAACTATTGAGGTAAAATCTCGAAGCTTATTGTTAGCAATTAAAATTTAACTAACAACGATTTTTGTTTCGAAACATTTTCTCGATTGAACAGAATTAATCGTTAATTTAATCAATGCCAATAAGTCCGCAGAATGATAGGTACGCAAAACGTAGCAACAGTCACGGAACAAAGTAATGTAAATATTAAGTACGGAATTTTCCATTGCGTAGGCAGCCCAACGGATTCTCAACGTTTTTTTGTTGTTTTTCACTCGGCGCGGTATCGTACGACGATTAAGCGGGCCAACGAATTCTCAACGTTTGTTTGTTGTTTTTCCACTCGGCGCGGTGACGTACGATGTTTTTGCATTCCTGAAGGTTGCCGCGCCATCATTCGCTCGCCGAACGTCGAGCCGGCAAGCAGTGGCGTGAGTCGCTCCGTGCGTGTTATTACTTTTGCGTTATCGGTCTCCAAAATTCGATCGCGATAAATAGAGGGATAAAACACTATTGATTTGCACATCTTTATCAGTAACAAGTGACGTTCCTCGATTAATTATTACGTTTCTACAACTTACAATGAGAAACGAATTGTATATTGAGGCGTATATTGAGACGGCTCTTTATCAACTCATCTAAAATATGAAGGTAAACCGTGGTACTTTGTCGCGGTTACATCTCGTTTACGCACCGCGCTTTTAATTCTCTATCGATTTTGTGTAATCTGTTCCATTTTCGGGAAAAGAGAGAAATTTGTACAACTTCGGCGTTCGCGCTGTAATTGCTCTGTCGTTCTTCGCTCTGTCGTTCGAGGATTAGATTGAATGACAAAGATTGTAAAATATCGTTTCGTTGCAGACTGATAACTACTTCTTTACCGCAGATTATACTTTCGATGCTCGCGTTACGTTTTATGTCGCCAATTCAACAGTGATTTATCCCAATATTCTTCTGAATAAAAAATACAAGTGGTTAGTTTGAGTAATTTGTATGTCACGCGATATTTGTTAATAATATTTCGTGCGTTTCGCGGTATTTCACATCGCGTACGGGAGTGCCCGAAATTTCGCGCGATCGATGATTTTTGCGAGTGAGTGTTGTGTCAGTGCGCAACAAGGGAATCTGAGAGGAGGAGCAGGCCCAGGAGGCATCGGGCAACGGCGGAGAAATGGTGAGGTAAGTGTCTTATCTTACATTTTGATGTTATTTGCTACTTGTGCAAAATAAAGCATCTGTTCTGTGTTTTTATTTTATTTATTCAAACGGTTTGAACGAGGATTCGAATAAGTGTTAGAGACAAAACCGTACATAAAAAATTTTGTGATTTTATATTTAAAAGAAAGACTTTTTCAGTATTCTATATAATTATTTTAATAAATACCTATTTTAACGAATATAAAATATAAAGTATATTTAATACAATAATTTTTATTTTACGTGATTAGTCTATAATAATCATATGCATATTTGTATTTTTACAGTTTTTACACATATACCTAGTTAACGATGTACAACTCTGCTGTTGCGAATCGTCTCAGTGAGTGATAAATTACTATTTATTTTAAATTGATGTTGCGCATACAATTACTTCTTTGCATGTATACAAATTGTTAAAAATATACAATGCTCAACTACAAACTGCGCGCGCGAAGCGCGCGTTTTGTCATTTCTAGTAAACTATAAAAGTGAGATGAGAAAACAATATACATATTACAAACATAATTGTATCAATATTTTAAAATA